GGAGCTGAAGCCCTGCCTCAGAATGAAGAACCCGATAGGTTGGAAGAAATTTCAGAGGAAACGGATGATGCGCCAAGTGACGAAGGAATTAATGTAAACTCAAGTAGCAGCAGGGAAAGCAGCCTTGAGAGGCGCGAGATGGAACCAAAGTTGGAACCAGGAGACAATGAGGTACAGCTGCAACGTGAAGAGAGGCAGGCTCGGCTTGAGCAAGAGAAAGCCAAAGCCGAGCAGGAGCGAGCTAAAGCTGAGCAAGAGAAAGCTAAAGCCGAACAGGAAAAAGCTAAAGCCGAACAGGAAAAAGCTAAAGCTGAACAGGAAAAGCTTAAAGTCGGACAAGAGAGAGCCAAGGCCGAACAAGAAACGGCCAAGGCTGAACTGACTATGATAAAGATGGAGGCCGCTAAAGCAGAACAAGAGAGAATTAAGACGGCACGAAGAGAGAACAGAGTGAGAAGCGAGGCGAGACGCAGCAATGGCAGATCCAATGGAGTCTGGGGAGGAAGAAATTATGAGAGACCCAGAAGAGTCTGGGGTGAGAAAAATTTTGATAAATGGGCAGATAAAAGTAAGTACCCTAAAACTCAGAAGAGTAGGTCGCGCACTTCATCTGAAAGTGAAGATGGAGGAGCAAAACGAGAAACTGATCGTTATCCAGGAAATCAAGGGTCCAGTAAAGCTCCACAGAGTGCGAGTAGTACGTCTGGCCCGAGGAACTCCAATACGAGTGGGCAGAGTCAGAGCTACTCTGGTACATATAGAAGAGACTTTTCCCAGATGAGATGTTACCAATGTAACGGATTGGGTCACGTGATGCGAGATTGTAGACAGGGCAAGAGAGTTGTGACCCTGGCCATGTGTGACCCCCGAGGTAAATATACTAATGTGTTCCGAGACAAACCACAGAGAGCGAATTTAGTGAACGAGAGGTATAGGCCGTTCATGAGTAAAGGTTGGATCAGTATAAGAGGCCAACCTGAGGTAGAAGTTGGTATCTTAAGAGATACCGGAGCTAATCAGAGCTTGATTGCGAGAAGCCTGATTGGGAATGATCGACGGTTAGCTGGCAGTGGGAAGATGAAAGTATATGGGTTATTGTCGGAGAGTGACATGCCCGTTTGTACTGTCCAGCTAAGGTCGGAATATGTGTCGGCAGAGGTGATGTTGGGAGTGTGCCCCGACATACCTGTTCCAGGAGTCCAAGTGATCCTGGGGAATGACTTGTGCGGGACAAAGGTGTTGCCAAGAGTCATAGTGGAGACTGTGCCAGAGGAGTGCCCAGAAGGCCACGGCACGTGTGGAACACCTGAGAGTGTGAACCTGACTGACATCCGAGGAGATGAGTCAGGAGACCGCCAAGCCATTGAAAACCCTGTCTCGGTAGTGAGGAAGGCAGAGGTGGCCGACAAGGAAGACGCTGGAGAAGATGATACAGTGTCGATTCAACCAGTGGAAGATATCGATGTAGATATAGCATGGCTGTTTGATGAAGGTCCAGCCCAGAAAAATGAAGTCTCGGTGAGGTCAAAAGTGAGGATGACCCAGCCGAAGAAGAATCATGTGAAGAGAGCGGACCTGAGTAGAGCCCAGACTGCTGAAATTGAGAGTCGGAAGGCGAATGCAACTGTGCTGAGTAGGAATGAGGAAAGATGTGGACAGACTGAGGACGGGAATAGAGCGTCAAGTGGTCCACGAGCACAGAGGCATATGGATAGTGGAGTTAAGTTGTTTGAGATGTCAGGAGTCGACATGTTTCACAGAAAACGTGGAGGAGAGATAGTGAAGAAGAGTAATAGCCGGGAAAATGAAAGGAGAAGAGACAGTATGTGTGGAGAGATGCTTACGAGCACTCTGGGAGAGGCAAGACGACGCGTACGGTCGAATGCTGTTGGATGTAGTACAGCGCTCGAAGAAACTTTTAGGGAACGAAGAAGAGTTGAAGGAGAAGAAATGGAGTGGTATAGAAGTGAAAAGTGTGGGAAGAGGATGATGATGCAAGCATGGAGGAATAGAAGAAAGCCGAGGACTCGATGGGAGTCGAACAGGATGAGGTCTCAGATAAATGAGGAGACGAAAAGGAGGATCGTCGGTGAAGACCAGGGAGTGAAGTATGATGGCAGGAGACGAAAGTATAATGGCAGTAGATGGAAGTATGAAGACGACAGAGGAGGTACAGACAGCAGATGTCTGACTCTGGACGTGAAGAGAAGAAGACGAGGAAATGGAGGGTGGAGACAGTAAGTAGAGTGGACCAATGGATTGCAGGCGTCCAAGGAGGACAGCCTAGCCAAGAGGTGCCAGAGAAGTCAAATCGTTTATGAGAAGATCATATTTCTGGCGAGTTGTGAGCCAGATGTTGCAAGGAGCATCGAACTAATTGTAGACTCCTAAGGAAGTATATCGGGTGAAGAACGAGACAGTGTGGTGGCGGATGTATTATCCCGAGCTTTGCCACTGGAATAACTCTCAAAAATAAGGGGAGGGGAGTGTTATGATCTCAGCCTGCAGGAGAAACGAGTCTCCCTTCTTGAGAGTTATTCAGCAAGCCTGACCTAACTAGAAGGTCTAGCAAGTATTGAGGTGATAACGCATATGTAAAATAGTTGGTTGGATATGTGTAACAGTTTGAGATTATGGGCAATGCAGAAGAAAATAGATAAATGACTGGCTAGGAGATGTGGACATTTTGCTGGAGGCTTGAGGCTCGCTTCTGGAGGACCTTGACCTCACTTGAGTGCCAGACATCGCAGGGGGAAGCCGCGCTCCGTTGAGCTCCCGTCAGAAGGGAACCCCTAGTGATATATCTCTAAGAGAAGAGAAGTGTGCAGACGTGCCAGCTGTGGAATCGAGCTGGGGACGTGTGGTCTCAAGTCGTGGACGATAATTAGTGAATATTAAGCCGCCCGGAGGCATTATTGTGGGCTGTGTGGAGCGCCCTGACCAGACGCCGTCAGAGGAAAAGCGCCCTCGACCAGTTAATCTGTGGTAAGCACGATATACGCCAGTTCATAGTGATTGCATTGTAGTTGGTCGTGTGCCCAGCGACAGTAGCAATGTTTATTTATAAGTTAGACATGTTTTAATAAGGCAGAAGGCCTGAAATAGGAGAGTGAAGAGGGAGGAACACGGAGCGACGTCCGTCCTCTCTGAGCGCTGGCGGACGACTGAGGGAGCCTGGCTCCGGATGGAGGAAGACCCTCCCAGCGAGTGAGGACGCCGCCGCCAGGCGAGGTGGAGTATGGACCCGCCCAAAACGGGGGAGTCCACTCTCACTGTATGTAGAGGACAGATAGAGGTTTGAGGCAAGCATATTGTGTGGTTATTTTTGTTTATGTGTTAAAGGGGAACATTTTATTGGAGTGTCGATGGGTTGCAGGTTTGTCTTTTGGGGAAGAAGTTGCTGAGAACTTCGAAGCCAGCAGATGAAGTAGCTGATGAGACTCCAAGGTAGTGGAGCAGAGGACCTCGAGCTGTGAGGAGAAGCAGCAGTGAAGAGGAGTGTCACGTGTTTCTGTAGAGGTGGTGAAGCACCATAGTTACTCGAGGAAACTTCATGGTGTAGCAGCCAAGAGAGCTGTGGAGGAGCCTAGCAGAAGGGTGAAGCACCGTAGTTGCTCAAGGAAACTTCATGATAGCAGCCTGGAGGAGCTGCAGAGGATCCTGGTAGTGAAGCCCGGAAGAACCTAAAGAAATAGGGTAGTGAACTTCCAGAGGTGGAAGGGGAAGTTCTGGTGGATTACTTGTAGGGAGTTGATAGTGTTTGGTTGTCAGTAGCGTGCAAGACGCAGTGAGAGGTGAGTGACTGTTGGCATCCTTATGTCAAGGAGTTTCTTATATTGAAGTATCAATGAACATTTATACTGGTATATGTTATTGCATTCAAATGCTGATTTTCTATATATATATGTTATCTTGCTGATGGTGCAACAGTGTACGTAGGCTTGATCAACTTGAGGAGGTTAATAGTATCAGGTGGTGAACCAGGAGGTAGGATACCACTTGATAAGCTGATAATAGAGTTCTGATGGTATTGGAGTGCAACCTGATTGTGATATTATAGAGTATAGGATTCATTATTATTATATGTGTGTATGTATCGTGTATGTGCTTTGTTCAGTAAATGTGTCACAATTTGCTGGTGTTTTGCCCTTGTCCTAGTGAGGCTTCCCAGGAGGTAGTAAAGAAGGAGAGAGAGAGAGGAAGAACCATGATCCACTGCTGTGGACAGGGTAGGAGGTAATACTGGTAAGTCATAGGGGGATTGAGGAGATCATATCTCATAAGGAGAGAGTGGGGAGTCACAGCGGCTCGAGTGGGTGTGTGCACGTGACAACGAGGCTAAGTGTTGGAGCCGCATCCCCTGAACGTGTGACGTTGAGCCCCTCTCCAAGAGCCAGAAGCGCCAAGGGTGATCTCCTAGTATAAGCACTCTGCCGAGTTGTGGGTTGGGTTGTCCATAGAGAAGGATCAACGACGACAACACCAACCAACCCACAGTCTATATAATATGTATTAATATATAATTTTACTACCGTATTTATTTTTAATTTACATAATTTTAGTAATAGTTTAATTAATTTTCTTTCATTGTACTTATAAAAAGAAAAAATGTAGATTTTGTCCATTTGTCGTAATACTTAACTAGTTATCTTAGGTTCTAGGACGTTCTCTATAGTCCTATATACACCTGAACACACGCATAGGGTCCCAATATAGGTTCTAGGACGCTCTCTCTAGTCCTATATCCACCTGAACAGACGTATAGGGTCCCAATATAGGTTCTAGGACGCTCTCTCTAGTCATATATACACCTGAACAGACGTATAGGTTCTAGGACGCTCTCTGTAGTCCTATATCCACCTGAACAGACGTATAGGGTCCCAGTATAGGTCCTAGGACGCTCTCTCTAGCCCAATATCCACCTAAAATCGTCCTAGGAGTTCGAAAGGCGGGACTCAAGAACTTAAAACCTCACTGCTTCTGTGTCTCTCTTCCCCAAGGGAGGAGATCCGCGCCAGGGACCAGCTGGGAGTGACCATCGAGTGTCTGAAGGAGTGCGACCGCCGCCAGGGGCGATGCTTGGCCGTCACCCTCGAAACCTCGCCCTCGAACGCCCAGCGATGCTACGCCCTTGAGCGGGCGGCTGGCCAGGACCCCGCAGCCCTCACGCCCGCACCAGAGGTCTCCTACTTCGAGAAAGTCTGCATTCCAGGTGAGTGAGTGAGTGAGTGAGTGAGTGAGTGAGTGAGACAGTGGGAGTGTCAGTTAACGTTGAAGTGAGTCGGTTAGCGAGGGACTGTAGCGTTCAGTGAATGAATGAGCCAGTGAGTAAGTGAGCGAGTGAATGCCTGAGTCAGTGGGTGAATCATTGAGTGAATGAGTCAGATAATGAGTGAGCATTTGTGAGTCATGACTCACATGCGTAAGAAATGAGTGATTTCACCCACTATTCTCTGCATATCCTTCTCGTGTTCACTGAACAAAAAAACATTAACCAGTGACCATTAAGCATTAACCCTACCATTAACCAATGACCCTACCATTAACTAGTAACCCTACCAGTAACCACACCATTAACCAGTAACCACACCATTAACCATTAACCCTACCATTAACCAGCGACCACACACCATTAACCACGGCCCTCTCACCCTTCAGAGCGGAGCTGCGGGAAGGCCTGGTCCTTCGTCAGAGTGCCAGGGTACGACCTTAACGTCAATGGTCGCATTCTCAACAACGTTCCCACGCGCCAGGAGTGCCAAGCAGAGTGCCTCAGAGCCACCGACATCCCCTGCAGGTAAGGTGTCACTCACTGGAGCAGGTGTGGCACTAATCTTAGCAACCGGTCAAGTTAGGGAGCCGGTCGGCCGAGCGGAAAGCACGCTGGACTTGTGATCCTGTGGTCCTGGGTTCGATCCCAGGCGCCGGCGAGAAACAATGGGCAGAGTTTCTTTCACCCTATGCCCCTGTTACCTAGCAGTAAAATAGGTACCTGGGTGTTAGTCAGCTGTCACGGGCTGCTTCCTGGTGGTGGAGGCTTGGTCGAGGACCGGGCCGCGGGGACACTAAAAAGCCCTGAAATCATCTCAAGATAACTTTAGCATTTATATGTGAACCTACGAAACCTGTGTATCTTTCCACAATCAAGGCGGCTTTGTTTACATTTATTACACCGTTCACGAGCTTGTAAACTTCACAACCCTTAGGTTATGATTGTTATAAACAACATGGTGGCGATTCTTGTAAGGGATCAGGGTAAGGAATTAGGATGGGACGGGGGGAAAGGAATGGTGCCCAACCACTTGTGGACGGTCGGGGATTGAACGCCGACCTGCATGAAGCGAGACCGTCGAGCTACCTTCCAGCCAGAGGACCAGATTCACGAAGCAGTTACGCAAGCACTTACGAACCTGGGGCCAGATTCACGAAGCAGTTACGCAAGTACTTACGAACGTGTACATCTTTCCTCAATCTTTGACGGCTTTGGTTACATTTATTAAACAGTTTACAAGCATGAAAACTTGCCAATCAACTGTTGTTATTGTTATAAACAGCCTCCTGGTGCTTCGGAGCTCATTAACTGTTTAATAATTGTAAACAAAGCCGCCAAAGATTGAGAAAAGATGGACAGGTTCGTAAGTACTTGCGTAACTGCTTCGTGAATCTGGCCCCAAGTGATTGACCCAAACAATAAATGTCATAAAAACCCCGCTATGATGCAGGAAAGATGATGTACAGGTTTCGTTAAAAAAGGTTAAATGATTGACGAATTCTGGGCCTCCAAGTATGTCCACTCACAAGATGAGTGGCGCTGCCCAATAAACTCGCCCCTCTTTTTCTTGAGATCTTGAGGTTATCTTGAGATGATTTCGAGGCTTTAGTGTCCCCGCGGCCCGGTCCTCGAGCAGGCCTCCACCCCCAGGAAGCAGCCCGTGACAGCTGACTAACACCCAGGTACCTATTTTACTGTTAGGTAACAGGGGCATAGGGTGAAAGAAACTCTGCCCATTGTTTCTCGCCGGCGCCTGGGATCGAACCCAGGACCACAGGATCACAAGTCCAGTGTGCTGTCCGCTCGGCCGACCGGCTCCCAACTCACCTCCCTCGGGGCAAAATTTAAAATTTAATTGAAATTTCCATGTCTGCGGTGCAGGTCTGCGGTGTTCGACGCCAGACAACGAACCTGTCGCTTGATGGGGGAGACTAGGAGGACTGATCCTGACAAGTTCACCTACACCTCTCTTAATGTGGAGTTTATGGAGAATCAGTGTGCTCCAGGTGAGTGTGTGTGTGAGGGTGTGTGTGTGTGTGTGTGTGTGTGTGTGTGTGTGTGTGTGTGTGTGTGTGTGTGTGTGTGTGTGTGTGTGTGTGTGTGTGTGTGTGGTGTGTGGTGTGTGGTGTGTGTGTGTGTGTGTGGTGTGCGTGTGTGTGTCTGTGTGTGTGTGTGGTGAGTGTGTGTGTGGTGAGTGTGTGTGTGGTGAGTGTGTGTGTGGGGAGTGTGTGTGTGGGGAGTGTGTGTGTGGGGAGTGTGTGTGTGGGGAGTGTGTGTGTGGTGAGTGTGTGTGGGGGGGGGAGGGGGTGTTAGGGAGGGGGGTGAGTAATCCTGGGGAGGGGGTGAGTAGTGTTGAGGAGAGGGGGTGAGTGTGTCGGGGAGAGGGGTAAGTGTGTGTGAGTTGTGAGAGAAAAGTGTGTGTGTACTAGAGTGACACATAAAGTGTATGTATACATGAAGGGAGGTGGATAAATGTTCGTTTTGAACATAATTTTTCGTCAAGAACATTTAAATAACATATTAACATACCTAATAGAATGAAATGCTTAAGTATCTCATATATTGATATTTTGTGCCAGATATTCACAATATGCAATGTTTCCTTTACCAATACACAAGAACACTGAATGTAACCCTTATTCCAAGTGTCTAAGTACAATGACTTTGTTCCATTAGTTAGTTAAGATCAACTCCAGACAACCAAGGAACTAACCAATGTTGTGTACTAACCTATGTACCTCTCTTTCTCTGTCTGTCTGTCTCTCTATCTCTGTCTCTCACTCTCTCTGTCTCTCACTCTCTCTGTGTCTCTGTCTCTGTCTCTCCCTCTCTCCGTGTCTCTGTCTCTGTCTCTCTCTGTCTCTGTCTCTCTCTCTCTGTCTCTGTCTGTCTGTCTCTCTGTCTCTCTCTCTCTCTCTCTCTCTCTCTCTCTCTCTCTCTCTCTCTCTCTCTCTCTCTCTCTCTCTCTCTCTGTCTGTCTGTCTGTCTGTCTGTCTGTCTGTCTGTCTCTCTCCCTCTTCTTTCTTTCCTCCCCAGATCCACCCAACTGTGACTACGCCAACTACGAGGGCCGCTTCCTGCCCTACTTCGACCGGTTCTTCACAAACGTCTTCGACCCGGCGGAGTGCAAGCAGTACTGCGACAGCGAGAGGGACTTCTCCTGCCGGAGTTATAACTTCCAGGTCCGTCTTTTCTTCACCTTGACAAGCGCCTTCGAGCTCAATCCAAGAGTCTTTGACATAAAGAGTGCTTCTTGACAAGGGTCTTTGTGTACGACATGAAGTCTTGATAGATATGTATATAGAGAGTACTTATCAGAAGGTAGTTAAGATCCCTGTGATTCGTGGTCATGTCAGCATCTGAACAACGCACTTTCAAGATCAAGTATGTTTACTGAGACATATAAAATGCATCTCAATAGGACAGAGTTCTACCCTCTAGTAGTTCTTGAAGGCTAGTTCTTGTACCGCTCTTGTAGGCTAGTTCTTGTACCGTTCTTGTAGGCTAGTTCTTGTAGGCTAGTTCTTGTACCGTTCTTGTAGGCTAGTTCTTGTAGGCTAGTTCTTGTAGGCTAGTTCTACCCTCTAAAACCACGAACTCACGTGTACGTGTTTCCTTTCCAGTCGTTCCGGCGTGAGTGTTCGCTGAGCTCAGACGACACCTTCACCACCGGCGGCCAGAACGCCCTCCAGGTCGAGCGGGACTACTTCTACTCCGAGCGGGGCGCCTGCAAGACCGGTGAGTGCTCGAACCTGCAGGAATAGTTACTGGAAGAGTAGAGGGTGAAGGAATAGCGGGTGGAGAAGCAGAGCGTCAAGGAGTAGAGGGGAATGAGTAGAGGGCGAAGTAGAGAGCGAAGGAGTAGAGGGTGAGGGAGTAGAATGTCAAGCAGTAGAGGGTGATGGAGTAGAGGGTGAAGAATTAGAGGATGATGGAGTAGAGGGTGAAGAATTAGAGGGGTGTAGCAGTAGAGGGTGATGGAGTAGAGGGTGAAGAATTAGAGGATGATGGAGTAGAGGGTGAAGAATTAGAGGGGTGTAGCAGTAGAGGGTGATGGAGTAGAGGGTGAAGAATTAGAGGATGATGGAGTAGAGGGTGAAGAATTAGAGGGGTGTAGCAGCAGAGGGTGATGGAGTAGAGGGTGAAGAATTAGAGGATGATGGAGTAGAGGGTGAAGAATTAGAGGGGTGTAGCAGCAGAGGGTGATGGAGTAGAGGGTGAAGAATTAGAGGATGATGGAGTAGAGGGTGAAGAATTAGAGGGGTGTAGCAGCAGAGGATGAATATAGCACAGAATATCTACAATATGCCTCGTGTACACTAACAATATCATATATACAAGTGTCCGCCACGCATCACCAGGGGAGGTGTATAAAGGTAAAGAATGCTCTGCTTGCCTTGGTCTGACCTGCCCCTCCCTTCCTCCCCCACAGTGAAAGTAGACTGCACGCCCACCGACATGCTCGTCACCTTCTCCTTCGGTACCCCCTTCGAGGGACGCGTGTACGCCACAGGTAACGCCCAGGCCTGCTTCGAGATGGGCAACAGACAGACGCAGCTCATCTTGCGAGTGCCACTAGGCACCACCTGTGGCACCAAGGAAGAGGTGGGTGGAGTACATACCTCAGTGTACTCTCATATTTGTACTTTTTCTCACTCAGGCGGGTACAGGAACGGATCCTATCTGACGCCTGTTACTCCTGTTATAGTTTTTCCCCCTGGAACACGA